TCTCTCTCACTCTCTCTTCCTCTCTATCTCTGTCTCTCTCTCTCTCTCTCTCTTGTAGAGTACCTGAGTGGGATGGGTGACGAACCAGCGGGGTCACATTTCATGTGAAAGGTTTCGCTCTAAATGCCGCATTCATAGTAGCAAATGGGCCGCTCGGGGCGGCGCGGCGAAACGCGAATGTCTCTCCCTTGTATTCCTCTTACCTTGAGCCAGCCCAAATTTCTTTCCCTTGCGGTCCAGTTGTTAGTATTTTGTATTGATGGTTTGCGAATCAAGCAGTTCATTCGCTAATTGAGTGATCAGTCGCTTTTCTGGCGCGACTGCTCGATCTAGTCGAGTGCCTGCAACTGACGGCGCTCTATCGCTAATTACTGAACCGCTGGAACTCCGTTCGAACACACTTTTCTCATCTTTTCTTTTATCAAGTATCGTTCCTTCACTGGCATTTGTATCCACTTTATAAACTGAATCTAATCCTTGGCCAAGTGGACCTGGGTTTAATGAGCCCAATCGAGTGTTTCGGATCGCTTGAGACGCTTAGAGCGCGTTCGTACTTCGCGAGCCGATCGCTTACAGCACGCCACCGGACCTCTGGAGCGTTCAAATCGCGCGACTGCATCGCGAACTATGAACGCGTTGTAAGACTTTTTCTGGACACCTAAAAGAAGGGCTATGCATACTTATACGAACGTTTATTGTTCAAACACTCAAATAACAATCTCTAAATGTCTACGCATCCTTTTCCCATATCGTGATAAGCCTGGCACGAGGAATTCCGCCCCTGAGGGTGCAGCCGTACCTACCATAGCAGTTATTGGCAAGGTGCCTACGGGAAACTCGTCCGAAATTGCTTTTTGAGTCATTGAGAACGAAGGCTTTTCTTCGCAGGTTTTTGACCGTTTCACTTCGTTTTTTCGCCATTTTCCCCACTATATAGCACCTGCTAGCATTTTAGACCGAGTGCCAAATTATCGTGCCATATGCCTTTAATACAATACCATTCCATATCACTTTCAGGCAAAATCCTCTACAAGTCGAACAACTTCGCTGGATACGTTGGTATTTACAATGGAATGAAGAAAGGCGCGTTCTCAATCACGGCGAATGAGAGATTCCAAGCAGCTGGAGGTATGAACAATATTAGAAAAGGGATCTATTTCATAACAGAATAGGTAAAAACGGAGTGTAACCAGAAAAATTCCAAGACAAGTGCATAACCACCATCAACCTTAAGGAGTTTGTGGGGCTGAGAACTTATAGAAAAGGACAAAAAACAGCAGGCGGTAATTGCACGAAAAGTACAGCTTGCGCTGACTGCAAAACCCTTGAACCGGTCACTATGGGGTTTAGGGGTGGCTCCCGAAAAGGCTGAGTTCTTTGCGGTTTTTCCCGTTTCACTTTATATATACCCCCCACCTCCCACACCAGTTGGTGGCACTGCCAAAGATTCATACAACTACTATTTCCGATGAAAAACAGTAGTTAGTTACTGACGACCTCGTCCCATCCCCGACCCCCCCCCCCATGGACAGTAAAATCTTGGAGAAAACTAGAAATGTTCCGGGAAATTTTGGAAAAACTGGAAAAAGTGGTAGGAAGTGGTTGGGAAAACCTATGAAAATAGTAGGTGAGATGGGAAAGGGGGGGGGTTCGTATCAGAGGATGGAATCAGGAGGTTTTTAGGAGGTCACATTTTGCAGGGATTTTTCACGACGCGATGGCGTGCTCTGATATATGCTGCTTAAGCCGCTAGTTTTACCTGTGCGTTGTCGAGGTTGACGCTTTCAGGAGTTGGCGCGCGCTTGGAACGGAGTCGCTTCAGCGGGAATCAGGTTGGGGATAGTTCCGAATGGAGGCCCTCAAAACCGTACCCTTATGCTCTATTAGGGATCAGGAGACCGTAGGACTCATTTTTCATCAATCTTCAAATAATTTTTTTTCAATCTTGGCACGTTTGTGCTCGGTTTGAGTCTTAAACCCTGCTTTTCGAGGTCTGCCTCATATCAAAATTTGTTCCCAAAAGTTCTTGGAATCGTTAGCTATAAGTAGAACATCTGTTTGATGTGGGCACTAGGAGTCCTAGTGCCAGACAGGTACGAAACGTTGTCCAGGGAGTTCATCAGTATCCGGGAACATGTTTTTAGACACTTTGGAGGACTCGCGAATTCGAGACGCACGAATCGTGTGTCACTCCACCCTTCTTAGGCAAGTGATGTAGACGTGAGCGGCATTCCATCCCACTGGATAACCTCTTTTTGGTGAAATCAGCCTTAAAAAGGGCGCTTCTCCATAACATTTAAGCCTAAGATTTAGAACTGGGACTACAAGGCAGATACTGCCAAAGGGTTCTTTGATTAAACGAAGCGATGTTCTGAAGACACACTGCAC